TTTTTATTGGAGATTGTTCCGGCACGGTTTATTTAGTTTAGCTATCGGTGCGTAAAGATTTATAGCATGACCAATTATTATGTTAATTCGAATTGATTGTCTATTTAAAATATACTACATAACAATATATCTGAGTTTTTCTATATATAGCGATACAAGTTGACCTCAGTGAAAATCCGCACAATTCAGTTTTCCGAAAATTGGCCAGTACGCAACATGTTAATGTCATACTGCATCAACTTCGTTATAATCACGAAACTTAACCGTTCGCACTCGACAATATTTTTCACAAAAAACATTCATCACTTTCTAACTAAATATGAACAATATTTTTCGCAACTAACACAATTGATTATCTTCTATAAATTAAGAGACAGAATTATTATACTTCGTTGTTTCATGTGTTGACACATTACGCATTAATATTAAATTAAAAATTTGAAAGTTTGCTGCGTCGAATCAATAAGGAGTCCCTCGAGTGCAAAGGGTTAATTTCGAGAAACGAGGCGAAATTGTGAAAGATTCGATAATGATCGCGTGTACCGTGACAAATCATGAGCAACGGAAAACGATGATGACGTTGTTCAGAACATTTCGATCTCGCAGATATAGGGGTGATGGAGGTTGCAGTCTACGTCGTCGTACGCGGCTTCTTTGCGCAGCGTTCCGCAATTCTGATTGCCGTTCAAATTGTCCGGTTCGTTTGGCCACAGGTTCGACCATTTATCGTAGCCGGCTCGTTCCAGCGACTCGCCGGACAGCGTGATCCAATCGCCCTCCTCGAACTGATCGTGTATGCCTACCCAGGCTTCGACGAAGTTCGCAGATTGTAGAAGGTTCACCAGGACCCTCTCCTCGGCTAGCGAGTTCACGACGGCTAAGTGACCTGTCGAATAGCGCTCGTGAGCATGCATTCATATCGTTGTGTTAGAATTTTCGCCTGTGTTTCTCTCTATGATTAGGGAACAATATTGTAATTATGTCTTTCTGTGTCCGTAGTTGTTTAACTATATTGTAATTGTGCCCTACGTTTGTCTATAGTTGGTTAACTATCGCAATTCTAACCTTCTGTGTCTGTCAGTGATTACTTGGCAATATTTTAATTATATTCTTCTGTATTATAGTTAATTATATATATATATTATAGTTAATTATATATATATATATATATATATATAT